ATAAACTTACGATTTTGCAGTTACATGTGTACTACATACACTACATGATAACCAACAATTCATTTCATTTCATTCAAATGGGATACAATATGAATTGTATAATCTTTGAACATAGATGGACAACACAATACATAAGTGAGCTATTCATTCTAACTGCTAAACTCTTGAATTGGCTGGCCTATCACATAGCACAATATATATATATATATATATATATATATACGGTACGCATGAAAGGTACTATTACACTACACTTCAATATGCAGCATTATCCATATTCGGTAGATATTTTTTCTACCGTATATTAAATCACAATGAAAAAAAAAAAAAATACATGAAATATCAATATTATATGATTGCAATGTGCATGTATAATGGATAGGAACATTCTCTAAAGTGTCAAAATATAAACAAAACATACCTTCCATTTTGTGACAAGGTGAAGTCTTCTAAACTATTCTATGTACGATACATGCCCATCCCATCCTTCTGAATGAGTTGTTTCGACAAGATGCAGTAAAAGTACAAGTGAGCATTTCCTCTTCTTGAGAGTTAAGTTCTCTTGGAAGGCGAAATAATGTCTGAGACACGACTCATTACCTCCAAATAGGCTGTGAAATATGGTGTGATTCCTAGAGGGAGCTAGCCGGCTAGGTAGGCATGATTGAATTTCATATTCATGAATGTTATGGAGGTGATTGGTTGCTTGCACTCTAATCACACTCCATCGGCCGGCACACTCCTCCTAGCTACCATCATCAAGATGCTCTCCAAGATGCTCTCAAAGATGCTCTCCAAGCTACACCAGGGATGAAGCACTCTCTCTGGGAACTGGCAAGTAAGTTCATTTCATTTCAAATGTCATGTACTTATACAGCTAGAAGGGCATTTACTCATATGCTTCATCATCGTCTAGTGGGTAAGTCACCAGACTGTGAATCCCACGGTTCGCGGTTCGAGTCCCGTCGAGGCACTAGGCTTCGGCAAGACATTTATCTATATTTGCCACACTCGACCCAGCCCCAGGTCTGGTAAATGGGTACCTGGTAGGAATTAATTCCTTGAAATGCTAGAGCGCTGTAATGGCAGCCATCCTAAAGCAGAGGTAATAGTTGTGGAGCGCCAGGAGTGCTATGTTTGACAGACATGAGCGCTATACAAGAACCCACTATTATTACAGACTTCATGCCTTTCTGGCTCTGAACAGACAATATCAAGGATTCCATGCTAAGGTTTTATAATACACATGTACATGAATTGATTAAACTGTGAAGAGAGATACTCTTTGATGCCAGTGGTGTAGTCATAAGACTTCAGGAAACAAAATACACAGGGGCTCGGGGCCAATTAGCCCCCGAAAGTCATAAAAGAGCCCCCCCCCCCCAAATTTGCATAGAGTTCAATGCAAAACAAATTAAAGAGTGTTATTTTCATGCAAGCAAGCTTGAAAAGTAGCCCCAAATGTTTAAAGTATTTTTTACCCTGTAAGACTTCTAGGTTTATAAGGGAAGTCAACCCTGGGACTAAAAAGGGCTGAAATAATAAACAGTAAAGTGAGAGAAACAGATCAGTGAAACTTTGAGGTAACAAGGGTTATAAACTTTAAATTCGTTATTGATCAAATAATAATAGGCAAACTATGATTTCCCTTGGCATGCATGTCTCAAATTCATTTGCATTCTATTTTCCTTTCTTTACATCTCTATTTTCCTTTCTTTACATCTCTATTTTGCATGGGAGTTTTGATAATTCATTGTAAAATTACAGAAAATAAAATAGATCCTCAATAATAACAATGAAAACTAGACATTGCATACAAGGACTTTACCTACTAAATGTCTCAAAGACATCCTACTCTAGGCTGCCTGTACAATATGCATGATGTCTGATTACATGTATATATCGGGGGAAATGTCTGTTACTCCAGACTACACAAGGTGTCTAAGAAGTTTCCCCTTTGTACACGTAATCAATCTATTTCTGATCAACAGGCTTTAAATAGATACTCTTGAGTGATAGGATTATAATGATTCACAAGAGTGTAAACTACCCTCTATTCCTCCGCACAAAATGATATTCAGTGTCATCATCAAACCTATTATTGTAACATCACAATGTGACTTAAGGAACAGAAATAAGAGACACAGACTATAACAATTGTGAGGAAAATATTATAAAGGAACTCCTGAAGATCACATGCAAATTGAAAACATTGTATTTTTAAATTCCATGTATGCAAGTTACTATCCATGATTCAAAGACATGGACATGTACTCACAAAATATAAATATTATTGATTATTAATCCTCTGTCCTAAAAAAATATCATAATTTGCCATATTTCCTAAAGAAATTTTCAACCGTGCAAACCACCCTAAATATACTTATTGCAAATATGAGCTATACAACCCATGTATGAAACAAATCCATTCCGTCATCAACAACTAAGAATATGAAGTTTGTGACATTTTCTGTACAGAGCAAACTGGAGAGGATCTCGAAAGATACGTCACAGTGTTGCCTATTTGTGTTTTACTGAGGCGACTTGAAAAATTCATTACTTTCCTACATTTAATAGGATAGTGCTCTAACTTTCACTGACCTGTTTCTCTTATTTCTCTGCTTCTATTAAAACCAACTTAATATCAGGGTTGACTTGCTTTTTAAGGATATGTAGGTACAGAGGTACATATATGTACTTGAATAATATAAAGTACACTAGCTCTCTAACTTCATGGAACACTAGATTCTTCAAACACATATTATCAAGATGAACTATGCATGAACCTGAGAAAGTTCTCTCTCGCAATCATTCTCCATCTTTCTCCTACCCCTGTCTCTTCCTATTTCAGTAACTCTTTGCATACAAACAATAATGTGTTACAGGATACTACTTAGATGTAGCATGTCCATGAATGAGAAGTCGATCGTTAAAGATCTCAAAATGAGTTACCTAGCATTGATGACAAACAAACAAAACTGACATTTTCAAAATTGTCACCCCCTCCTGTATAATAGAAAAGTGCTCTCTATTATTGCATTACATGCTGCTTTAGGAAGAAAACCAAAACAAACTCTGCTTGATTTCTTACAATACATGTACACAAACAGCTCTAATGCTTATACGATTGGAGCCTGAGATATATACCCGTAGGTGATTTCAAGTTTGGTGTCGAAAGCTGGTGTTGGTATTGTGAAAACACCATCTTGAAATCATGCTGGTGTTGAGGTAAACCTGTGAAAATATGACGCATTTCTGCTAGTTTATTTACTTTCCCTTTGTCCTAACATCAAAAAGATTTAAGTGAAACAAATGTAGAAAAAGGTACAAAAGTGTACTATCTATTTGAAATGGAAAAAAGAATTAGCATCTTGCTACATACAACATTCATGTACATGTAGATGTTCTGAGCTTTGAATCTGCTAATCATAAAATGAGATGAAATCGTGTAAAATGGAAATGTCATGCATTTGAACCCCCTTGTCAAAAATAATGTAACATAGGTCGAGCTAAACATGAAAAGTAAAACGGTAGGAATGAAGACAAAGTAAATATCAAGGGAGAAAGTGGAGACTGTTCTTATTTACCAAGTGTCTCATGTGATGAATACCCTCGTCACTTGAGATCATTATCGTCACTTTTCACTTCTTTTAACATTCCTTTCAATTCTTTGTGGAGTGCAGGATGCTGACCCATGTGTCTGTCTTCACATGGATTAAAAGAACAACATGTAATAGTGTGATCTTCATAACATTTCTTGTGTATTGCTTGTCTCCAACAGATTCACTTGTTCAGATCCAGAAGAGCGTTCACTTTGTTTTAAAGTACATGTATGAGTTAACCCCAATCTGGCTCTGTCAAAGCCTAAAGGCACAACGGGATAGTTCATCTGTTCTAAACCAGAAGAGCATTAACTCACCTCATTCTACACAGATATTACACCCATCTGGCTCTCAACTGACACTAAGAGGTAGAAGCTTTCAACAAACATCATAGCAGATTTCTTATTCAACTACTCTCAAAAGAAATTAAGAGGTACAGGTCTTCAACAAACATCATAGCAGATTTCTTGTCTAACTTCTCTCAACAGATACTAAGAGGTTTGAGCCTTTTACAAACATCATAGCAGATTTCTTGTCTAACTTCTCTCAACAGATACTAAGAGGTTCGAGTCTTCAACAAACATCATAGCAGAATTCTTGTCTAACTTCTCTCAACAGATACTAGAGGTTCGAGTCTTCAACAAACATCATAGCAGATTTCTTGTCTAACTTCTCTCAACAGATACTAAGAGGTTCGAGTCTTCAACATACATCATAGCAGATTTCTTGTCTAACTTCTCTCAACAGATACTAAGAGGTTCGAGTCTTCAACAAACATCATAGCAGATTTCTTGTCTAACTTCTCTCAACAGATTAAAGAGGTTAGAGTCTTCAACAAACATCATAGCAGATTTCTTGTCTAACTTCTCTCTACAGATTAAAGAGGTACGAGTCTTCAACAAACATCATAGCAGATTTCTTGTCTAACTTCTCTCAACAGATTAAAGAGGTACGAGTCTTCAACAAACATCATAGCAGATTTCTTGTCTAACTTCTCTCAACAGATTAAAGAGGTTAGAGTCTTCAACAAACATCATGGCAGATTTCTTATTCAACTACTCTTGACAAGTCCTCCTGAATGGTTTCATATACATTTCTGCTTCTGTTCTCTCTGGAGTCCCACAGGGCAGCATGGTTAGCCCTCTACTTTTTTTTCCTCTCTTTGAATGACTTGGCTTATCAAATCATAAGTAATTTCAACACTCCATCTCTTTGCAGATGATTGTGCCCTGATCTTACCATCACCTGCAATTATACCTGAATTCCCTAAAACAGTGGGAATGGGATTCTTTGATAGCCTTCCACACAAGGAAATGCAGGTTGTGCTACAGTTACTGATACATCTGTCATGAATGGAACACAGCATATAAGTCATTCACACACAAGAGTAATACTTACGCGATGAGGAATTGATTGGAATGTTCTAGAAGAAGAGAGATGCAAGCATCTTTGACATCAATAACTCCAAGCGGTTGTCCCGTATCATTTTGAGACTTGAAGTATAGAAGATAACACGTTGATCTGTCAAGTACAAACCAAGAACGTCTCTTCTTCCAACGACCAAGAGCTATGGGTTCAAACAAACAAACAAACATGATCTCATAAATCACAAGTTTTTTTGCAAATTCGACTGATTTCTCTCTTTAAAAAAAATATGCAACAATTATGAGCCACCCAAATATATCACTATATTAAGCTGTGAGATCATTGGAAAAAAAAAAGCCAAGCCCTTAGGGTTAATTCATCAGAAGTACAGTGTACATGAATGTTTACCATTGCAATCAAAACTAATTGATTATGTGTATATATTATATTCAAGAACTATAATGAGACACTATATAGACTATAGACACTGGATATGTATCAGGCTCTTGATGTAAATTTATCTATATCCTTGTATTTTCCATTGTCTTTTCTGAAACAGAAACTTATTTAAAGACATTTGACCACTTCAAATCTACTTTTCTCTTCTTCAGGGTACTCATTAAATCTCTTTGTTCAGTATCAAAAGGAACTGTCTCAACAAGAATAGCTGTATGCACGAGACACAACACATTTTTAGCCAATTCTTATATCTATTTTTGAATTCCCCTCGTGATGATGCGTGATGTTTCAAAGCCAACATATTTCTAATTCTCTTCTTTTTGTTTATGACAGAAAAAGACTTTTTAAACTTGCCTCGATGCATAAGGAAAAAGTAATCTGAGACAGGCAGCTGAATAATTACATGAAAAAATCAGATCGTGTGAAAAGTAAAATGGTACAATGATGATAACAAACTACACAGGATACAGCTGTATATCATACAAAAGGGGAATCAACTTTTATGAAGTAATGGCATTAGAAACTAAATATCAAGATGTCTATTTGTCTCCATTGAAGGCCTGTGTACCATTAGTTACGATGACCAAACCATTTATAACTTTCTCATTGCACTTTACTTGCCTGATATTTTGTGAACTTTTTTTCACATGTAATACAATTACTTTCTGCCTTCATTTAAAGCAATGAAAGCAAATTATTCTGGGGCCAGATTTGCCCTTTAAAGGGAAATCCAACCTTGATAGCTCAAAACTACTCTACAAGAAAGGAAAACAAATCAAAGAAGCATACTGGTGAAAGTTTGTATGAAATCAAACATAAAATGAGAAAGTTATGAATTTTTGAAAGTCACTATGGGTAAGGGCTCTTCAAATTGGCTGAATCGGTAAAGTCTCTTTGATGTAGTGTAGTGTAGTGTTAACAACTTTCCCGCTTGTTCTTACACACAAAATGACGAAAATTTCAATTTTCCAAACATGTATGACTTTGGATGGTTTTTTATTTTTAGAGGAAATGTAATAATAAACTCTCCATAATATATTGTAATTAGTGCCCTAGGGGTGAAGGCACTTGGGTGAAAAACAGAAATTAGTGATATTTCTATACATGACAAAATTGCCAATTTGAGATTTGCATACTGTAGTGATCTCATATTTCAAACATTCATAACTAACTTATTATTGGTCCGATAAATATCAAACTTTCGCCATGCTGAAAAGGTGCATACATATGGTATTCAGTTGTGCTTGAATTTCTACCGGTAGTGATATATTACAGGACACAGATACATACCTCCTCCCGGTCTATGCTGCAGGTATCCTGCCTTAGCGGCAGTAGCTGATATGACACTCATTGTGGAAGATTGTTCACTCACGTTATTACTCTCAACATCATGGTTGGTCTTAGCTCCAACGATGCTGTGATGACTTTCGCCATGACTCTAGAAATGACAAATCATAACATCATATTAAATATCAAATCATTTACATGTGTTCATCACATAACTCATAATAATGCTCTTGTGTATTACACAAATCACAACATGTAATATCATAATATCAGATCATTACAGAAGTTCATCACATAACTGATAATAATGCTCTTGTGTATTACACAAATCACAACATGTAATATCATAATATCAAATCATTAAGAGTTCATCATAGAACTGATAATAATGATCTTGTGGATTACACAAATCAAAACATGTAATATCATAATATCAGATCATTACATAAGTTCATCAAAGAACTGATAATAATGATTTTTTGTATTAATTACACAAATCACAACATGTACATGTACATGTAATATCAACATCAAGTCATTACACGAGTTCATCACAGAACTGCATGATAACAATGATCTTTTAATCTATTAATAACACAATAGTGTCATACTGTATACATGAAGTATTGTGCTCCTAAATTATTCATGACAAGTACTTTGACTACCTATCCCATGCTGCTAACATTTCTCATGTCAATATTGGTAAACATGAAATCCCTTGTATTCCATCATTGCTACATGTACATTTCAATCACAACATTACATGTACAATAGCATCCGACCACTCATTATATACAGTATACTGTACAAAGAAAATGAGTTCCACAGAACAAGGCCTATCACACTTGCACATTCCTGCTCAATATTTTTACAAGAGTAGAACTAGAAAGTAGAAAGAAGAGATACAATCAGTTGAAGCATACAAATGTCAGGCAGGCTTACAGCAGTATTCCTTGATGGGATCAATACAATGTTAGCTTGAAGAAACAACATGGCTTCCTAGCTCTAGCTCGTACTAGTATTACAGGCCAAGTTTCTTACACTACACATGCCAATGATGAATCACTCTCTCAGTCTCAGTTCAACTAGTTACTGACAGCGGAAGGCACCAATTAAATTGTCTTACAATTAAAAAAATTAAAACTGTCAACTATTCATTACTTCCTTGCAGCATAACTCACTAAAGAAAACAGTTATATGATGATGTATAGAACTTTGTATACTACTTCTACATGCATTTTAATCAAAATATTATGTGTGATTTGTATTCAAAGTGTGATTTTTGAGACTGAATTAGAGTAGGTACAGTTAACAACAATAGTATTCATATTTTTAAAGTATGTGAACATTTTATTTGTCCAGATTAATGTTTCTTGAGATCAAAGCTTACATTTAAAGTGTTCAACAAGGTCCTAATTCAACCCAGTCAAATTTTCATTTTTTAGTCACAAAATATATCAAATTTACAAGGGGTATGAAAATTGTTGTTAACTGTGCTTCTCTCTAAGTGAACAGACAACATATTACATATACTGTATAATATATATTGATTGATTCGACTTAATTCCATGTCATATCAATTGTTTGCACAATAAAGAACATACCTGTAGTCGACAAAGTATAAGTTCAAAACTATGAAAAGAAACAGGTCCTACTGGAAAACATAGCTTGTTTTTGTAGGTTCCCAAGAATAAATATAATGTGAACATTATTGTCATAAATCATTTTAAAGTGTCTTAATAACCACAGTATAATAATATACATGTACAGGTCGGCTGGAAAGATTAGTGGTCTTGGAGAGGTCAAGAGTGAGAAACCATGTCAGTGTGTATAGTAACTAAGGTGAGTCACACAATCAATCCTTCATTCCATTCAGGTCTACATATCCCTCTGATAGGACCTAAAGCAGTAGGTCCATGAACAGCAAAGCGAACAGTAGCACAATATTAATATTAATATCATAAACCAACATACCACAAAGGAAGAGAGGGAAGGAGATTTCTTCCGACTCAAACGCATTCTTGCCGGACACATAACACCACATTTGATGTCCACTCTACTATTGCAATAATCCTTGTGCTATAATCCAAAGAGTAATACATGTACACTACATGTCCAGGCTGGATGAACAGAAAGCAGAAAGTGAAGAGGAAGAGAGCCAAGCAGACCTTGTAATGAATATTGTGCGTTTACTGCGTAGTAATCCAAGATCATTATCATTTATATGAAAGTCCTATAGAAACTAAAGCTCATGATAGTTTATTGGCCGAGTACTTCATAACTACAGTATCACAATCTTGGTTTCATGCCATATGAGCAGGATATGGTATTGTGAAGTTTTGAATTAAAGGGAAAGTCTCCTTAACTAACTGAACATTTAATAGCAGTTTTAATTGAAACTATCTGTAATATTAAACATCTACAACAATCCAAATTGGGTTGCATCGAGAGTGCTTTGATATGTATTATCTAATATCTATGCAGTAGGCCTATGCACATTTGTAGACATGTTTACATGTACATGTACAATAAGTATGTGCATGAAATGAAAAAGGCCTGGATTTCAAAATATATCCCATTTGCATTGTGTTAGTATCAATATATTAATTACAACATCAACAAAAACAAAAATGCTACTACTACTTCTAATAATGATAATAATAATAATGGCAATGTTTATGATAGTAAAAATAATAGTAATAATGATTATAATAAGGATGTTTAATAATAATATTAAAAATACTAAAAATAATATTAAAAATAATAATAAACAATTTGAATAAAAAAACAAAATATTAATAATGACAATCATAATGATAATAATAATAATATTGATAAAAACATTTAGGGCTTTAAACATTGACAGTGTCTTCAGTTTTGCCATGTCAGAGAATAAATTGGATGAGTACACACACTACGACTAGGCTAGCCCACACATACAGTTGTACAGTACTTTGTGCAAATTCTCCACTCCTGGCGAGGGCGCCATTATAGAGATGCAAAGAATAGTTATAATAATGATAAAAACTATTCTTATATATACACTCTTAAAAATATGTTGTCAAAAAAAGAATAGTTACAATAAAAACCATTTTTATATTACACTCTTAAAATATGTGGTAAAAAAATGACCATGTCGTGGTCGTTTTTAACCACGTTTTGGTAGTCAACCATGCACCTTTAAAAAAACAACCACAACGTGGTCATATTTTGACCACATATTTTTAAGAGTGTAGTGTATATCACAAAAATAAATTTAAGTCCTTATGTAGCCATACAGGCATTTAATATCTGGTACACGTATGGTATTATGTAAATTATAAGACTATTACAGTTCTTCTAACATTTATAGCAAGTTGCACCTGGAAAGCAGAAATTCATTTAAAAAATCATGATTTGTGGAGTTTTTAATGAAATTTGATTAAAATAAGCAGAAAGCTATGTTGTTTTTTTTAAAGTACAATCGCTCCATGTGGGAATAGCATATTGGTGAATCGATAAGAACCAATAATGTAATTGATAAAATGCAAACTGTAGTGTCAGAACGACAGGATTATTCAAACACTCAAAATGACTATTTTGAGAAGTTGAGTACAGCCGTGAGGGAAAACATGCTCGGGAGGGAAGAAAAATGGAACTCTATGCTAAATGTGTGTACAACAAATTGGAAAGTTGCCCATACATCAAATTCCAAGGACCACTTAATCAATTAGAGATTTACAATTTGACATGCATGTAAAACGTCTACCGTATTTGCCGGCGTATAGGCCGCAGCGCCGTATAGGCCGCACCCCCGATTTTGACATTTAAAAAAAAAAAAAAAAAAAAAAAAAAAAAAAATCGTTTTTTTGTTTTGCTGCCGAAAACCCACGCGTGGAAGGACCTTCATGTAACATCGAGGTGCAGTTAAAGGCGCTGATTTGTGCTTGTAAACTTGTCACAAATAATAGTAACAATGTCGTTTTTAGAAGAATGTGTAAGATCATTAATGTGAATTAAAAACAATAAAGTACCTATGGTACCAGTGGTGTACCTTGTGGTACACCATTTGTTATAGAAAAAAATTTGAGGAACTATTATTGTAAACTACATATTGAGATCTATTAGAAAGATTACTTTCAAACCAAGATGACAGTCAAATTTTAGAGTTGTTGTAGTTTCCGAGTGGTGAGTCAACACACTGATTACTGAGCTGGGAGACATTGCCAGGCATGGCGCCATAAATCGAAACTAAAAAAAAAAAAAAAAAAAAAAAAAAAAAAAAATTACTCTTTCGCCGCATAGGCCGCACCCCGACTTTTTGATATTTTCTCTTCCAAAAATACTGCGGCCTATACGCCGGCAAATACGGTATTTAGCAATCAATAATTAGTCCAATTTCATTCAGCACGAACATGGCATATAAAGTTATGTTTTTGTTTTCATTGGATCCCATTTGTTAGAAAGGTTGGATTATCCTTTAAACTGCAAATCAGACAATTATGGAATCAAAGTGATTTATCTGAAAAGCAAACTTCCTTAGATATTCATGTACATCCTGTAAATCTCCAATCAAGAAGTGTGTACAGGACTTGACTTCAAGACCAATTCCACCCTCTGTAAATTTGTTCTATGATTTATTTTTAAAAGTTCAAATCCCACAAGTCTCTACAGATGGCATGCTAGTCACTGTAGTTCCATTTACATTGCAGAAAAAAAAACAATGTGAAAAAACGATCATTTTTAAACTACCATTTGCATGTACACTCCTGGAAAAGCCCATGAAAAACGTCACTTGTCGCTGCTCTGCAATCTGCATGCATTAGCAAGGGATCGAGAAGAGACACATGACCAAAAATCAGAATAATTTACTGGTGTTTGAGAGTGAGCATTTACACTGCAAAAACCCGTAGAGTTTTAATTTTTCAATATGAGCAGGACTCTTCTTCCATAATGAATGTACTCAAAATGGAAGAAGAGTCCTGCCCACATTAATAAATTAAAACCCCACACTCTAGAGGTACATGTAGAGGTGGGATTCTCACTGTTTAGTTGGGTAGTTGCCTATAGGAATACAACTCTAGAATGTGAGAAAAGTAAAACTGATGTTTTTTGTTTGTAGTGTAAATGACCCTCCTGTGAAGTAGAATTGTTCCAATGCTAAATTAAAATGACTTTATTTATGACTAAAGCGGGCTCTTTTTTGTTTTCTATATATATCCACATATTTATGTAGAAGTTATGACATACATGTAGTATTTTATCTTGAGTAAAGCCATAAAGGAAAGCACGCTTAATTGAATATGACATTCACAAACATGCACCTGACTGTATACAATTTTTCACATACCGGTACTTATATATTCAACCTGTTTCTATTGATTTTTTCTTGTCTTTGCATGTGAGAAATGTCAATCACTCTTTAAAGTTTTAACCCCATATCAGAGAAATCCCTCTGAACTTTGCTTACACCCTGGATTACCTTTAATACAAACTTCCTTCATTATATGAGGGTAAGCATCCCCGAACATGAATAGCACACACCGGCACAGCAGCACACAGCAGCACACGTACAGCAAGGTAACCTTCACTACATAACAGGTGCACTCTACCCTGCTTACTTGAATTCAGATCAGCCTCGTAGGAGGCCCCTGCCTAGCTGCTAAGGCTATCTACAGTGTACATCATACATCTCGCTACGTAGGCACATAAGAGTTCACCACTGTGTGCATTAGTGTGTATGTTCACAATACGTCAAAGTCATCAACTATCATATCAATAATCATGAAGTGAATAGTGCCTTTTCAAGATATGGTATAGTCTAGAGTGTTATTAGTTACTAATGGTTTGAATCAGTGTAAGCTGTATTCTGTGTGGTGAAAAGAGGAATTCTAACCCCCAAAATGCTCTTCAATTTCACCTCAATTACATATAGGACACAGTAGCTACACATAATTTGGCAATACCAAGTTCAAAATCTGTTAAAATTGGTTCCTTGAAATCTGAATGTTATAGCTAGGTTTGATGGCCTGATGGAAAACTGGATTGTGAATCTACCATGACAGTGATGACACATACACATTATACCTGTACATCATTACATGTACATATTTATAACTAACAACCTTTAGTACTACATGCAGTAGTAGTAGTGAAAAGAAAATTGGGATGAAACTTGGTCTTACTCTCACTTGTATTCCTTGTTAATATTCTGTTCATGATTTTTGAACAATTTAAACATTCCAAATTTCTCATTTTTTGAGGCTAAGGCCTACTCCTTAATAAGCTACAGTGTACCTACGGTACATATATTATGCCTAGCTCACCCCACTGCAATGGCTGCCTGTCAATTACATTTTAACACACTCAAATCACACATACATGTATTCAAAGGTAGAGCTCGTCATACCCCAAATTTAAGTTGATGATATAGGAATGGTTTGATAAGGCGGAAATGAAGAAGAAAAAAAAAATGAAATTGGCAAAGGAAGTGAGGGTGTCAAAGTAATTTTAAAGAGAAAGTTGAGTTATGGGAAGAGGTGATAAATAATTTGTGAGCGTTTTCATTGTTATTATGCAAGTGCAGAAGAACATCAGAGAAAGCATGTACCCTGAAAAGCATGGCTCTTCAAATGTGTTAATATTCTTAATATGACATGTACATGTAACAAGCATAAAAATTGGGACAGATTTTTATGCCACATGTTCGTGTGGTCCCATAAACATATTTATGTGGAAAGTGCTTGTAACTTTACCAAGACTGGGCCAAATTTCTTATTATTTTGATGATTCCAGAACCTTATTTACTAGATGATCAACTTTTTTTGATCGATTCGACACTGTTTCTTTTCAAATGCAATTGCATGACCAGAACTCAACTTTATCTTTAAAGACCTCCTACTGGTTCAAAATGATTATTATTTCAATGTTATCAACCAATCACTTTGGTTTGGATCACTCCTTTTTTTCCAAGATAAAAAGGGGAACAAAATGAAAATTTGTATCACCAGGAAAATGTTGGGTGAGGGGGGGGGGGGGGGGGGGGGGGGGTAACGGAAAAGGAATGTTTAAAAACTGGCAATTTTTCCTACTGCGCCACCCCCCCCCCCCCCCCCCCCCCCCCCCCCCCCCCCCCCTGTATCGCATTAGTAATGCCACATGAAAATGATTACTCTTGTAAATGCCCACACATGACCTACATGTGCATAGTCCCTACATGCCTGTGATGACCTGTGATGTGTTTATTGCTTTTCACTGTAAGTGATTTATTGTGGCATATTTGAAAAAATACATGAAATTCACTAAATCTTGTTGAATATAGCGCTTTTCACAACATACATGTACATGTATCAACAAGATTTAGTGATTATCAACAAGATTTAATAAATTTCTTATAGACTTAATAATGACTGCAATTTATATTTTTTAACCAGAAGATCCTTCCAAAGTATCTCTTAAATACCCTTTTCCCAATAACTCTAATAACTGTATTTTCTTTCATAATACAATCAATGACCACTTTCCATGTTTCAATTTCACAAGTCGCTTAAATGCTTGAGTGGGAGAGGGCCAGTCTATATTTTTTGAAGATTAATTCACGGGGTAACACTATTAAGCACTACATTGCAACTTGCAAGACCAGTGATAATACAGTTAACATCATTAAAATAGCCCAAAATACAGTAGGTATCATGTATGCCTACATGTACATGTATATCTGACAGCATGAACAAGAGTCTACTCATTTTAACTTTTCATCCTCACAAAACTGATTACAATATATACCTCAATGCTGCTGAAGTTATGGGTACCAAGAGATATACCAGGGAGGTGAGGTATCACCGCCCTGAATATACCAACTGCACTGATTGTACAGTACATTATTTTGCATTGCAATTACCAGTAATACTAAAAAGTTATCTTGCCTTCGCTTGGGGGATGATCGATGGATCGCTATTTTTGGAAATGACATTGACATCTTCAACTATGTTAAGAAAATATGAAGTGTCCTGACACAAAATTCCCATCAGGAATATTAAACAATGTTAACTTACCAATAAAAACTGTCGATAAAGTTGGTTGTTAGATTGGTCCTTTCTATGTCTAGCCAAATCAGACATGAAGAGAACAAGTTCGATCCAGACTAGACTCCTACCCTGTCCCTAGGCCGACGGTCGGGGGGTTGACGGTGAGTGTCGCCTGGTGTCGGTAGCTGATCTGTTTTGCGACTGTGCCAGTGTTTGTTAATTTAGAGGGGTAGGGAAACAGAGAGCAAGGGTGATAATAGAAATGAGTTGCAAGTTAAACCTAACTGTCAGATCTAGACCCTCGTCAACATGCATGCATGGTCAATATATAATGTATGTACAGAATCTGCGGTAGCTCCAGCACGGTCTCGATCTCAACATCACAAACAGAGCCGCATCTCATTTTCTTAGCAGAGATCTTACGGGAATAATCATGTAACGGCATGTACCACAAGGTGGCGTTGTTCTTTATTTGAAACTGGAACTCTTCAGAAGCAAACCAAAATAGTTTAAAAGTGTCAGAATTTGTAAGGCGGATTTAGATGTCTTCTGAATCTTCTGAAGGAAGGAACACATTTCTGCAGATAAAAAGCGCAACTTTCCATGATGAAAGAGCACATTGAAAGGAAACATTTAAATATCAAGAGCCCGCCTGTTACTTTATATGTTTCATTGTTGACAGATTGTAGGGGACCTTTTAACTTCTAATGAATTAGTATTATCATCACCTATCTGTCTGGCCAAAAAATGAAGAAACAGCAAATACAAAACTACAGAAACATTTGATGTGATTCACGCGGAAATGAAAAAGATATTGAAAAGGAACCATATTTCATTTTCGAAATAATGAACCCTGTGTCATTTGAGCAATTATGAACCTCATTTCATTCTTTTCATCTCGTTTCATTTCGTTTCATTTGGTTTTATATAATGTTACATACATATACATTTCAAAACAAAGTACAAGTTTGTTTTTTTGTGAGTGATAAAATAACAATCAATAATACATAATAAATAATATAAAGATAAGTGGTCAATATAGAGTACTCATTTAACTAAGAGAAATATGATGGGATCTACATGAAAGCAAACTTTTAAAGCTGTAGGCCCCGGTGAAATAATTTGTGGTAATGATTAGAGTACGGATATAAATATTGACAAATCCTAATAAATAAAAATAGATTAAAAAAAAGGGAAAGACGGCATTAGGAACCCTATCATTTTCGGAATTACGAACCCTATTTAATTTCAAAATTATAAACATCTTGGAATATTCCGAAATGTGAACCTTCCCCAAACGTGTAACCCCAGTTCGATTCGATACTTATATTATATCGGATGGCTTTGAGTGTGATACAAGTATAATTGCTCTGGCTATGATAATATTTGACGAGTCGAAGACGATTTCAATATGGTCATAGCGAGAGCAATAGTTATATCATATCACACGAAAACAAAGCCACGCTGCGTTGTCTATGTTCATTTGCCTCTTGGGGTTCTAGGACGCTTTCCCCCTGAACCACCACCACCGGATGACCATTGACTTTCTTTTTATGACCCGGGGGGGGGGGGTGGGGGGGGGGGGCGAATGATGCGAGGGACGAGGGAGCATAGTGTAAACTGTTGAAGGATTTTGAAGGATATTATGCGAGGGAGCGTAGCGACCGTGCGAGACGATGTTTGCATTTATTAGTCTAAACGCTACAGTCTCTAGTTAGTATTTACTTTACATTTTTGGAGGGTACTTTTTCAAATTTTCAGGGGGGACGTTCCCCCTAAACAACATTGAGGAGTGGGGACGTGTCTCCCCATCCTCCCGGGATCGCCGCCCCTGCCTATATACGGATGACCACCCTCTATAGGACGACTAACCCCGGGCAACTACCCCCAGACAACTACTCCCGGACAATTACTACCTAGGACAACTACCCCTAGACAACTGTCCCTGGGATAACTACCCCAGACAACTACCCCCGGACAACTACTACCTAGGACAACTACCCCCAGACAACTATCCCTCCGGCCAACTACCCCCAGACAACTACCCCTACAACAACCATCTTCTAGGACAACTACCCCCAGACAACGATCCTATAGGGTAGTTGTCTTGGGGTAGTTGTCCGAGGTAGTTGTCCGGGGGTGGTTATCCGGGTGTGGTTATCCGGGGTAGGTGTCCGGATACGGCCACTTGGATAGGAAACATGAATTACAAAGGAGGTTGATCAGACATTGCTCAGGTGATGATTTTTATTCTCGTGGAATGTCAGAGTTATCCTTTTGCCGGGTCCTTTTGACGAAAAGTCTTCCATCTTAATAATAATGTTGGGGGTAAAGTTAGGTTGTATTTAGGATTACTGTTAAGTTTATGGTAAGGTTTAGAGTTAGGTGTAGCGTTTAATTTTGTGGTGAATTTAAGATTTGAGTTAACATGGGAAATAAGCGCAGAGCAAAAAGGACATTGATTAAAAACCGTAAATGAGGTAGAATCCTCCCTTTAGAGAAAAGTTATAGGGCTTCATTCTCGAGGTCTATAACTCCTGTTCGCTGTGTGATATAGCGCCATCTATAATGGAAAGACAGTCTATAGCGCACTTGTAATTCAGACACGTCGACAACGGAGATTTATTCTCAGCAGGGGCGGACAAACGGAGGAGGGAGGGGGCGAGTTCTTGAATACTCATCGCGGGATATTGAAGCACTGCTCTCATTTCGTTATAATATTACCGTGTTGATGATAAAGATTTATTGTAACAATGTCTGATCACTCTGATGAGCAGCCATCCATAGTAAGGGGGAGGGGGCGGATCGTCCACTCTATTTATCTCTTTACTCTTATCTTTAGATTGTCAACAAGTCCAATCAATGTCGGGGAGTATTTATTTATTAACTAACCTCAAGAAAAGGCACATACTTGTTTTCCCCTTTTATTTCCATGAGCGTTGTCCAATGATATGAAACAGTTCAATGAACTTTGTTGGAAAAATAAATAGTTCTTGTTAGATGAAAGTTAGGATACATCTAGGTGCTTGTGCAATATATATATTATTCAAATTGAAGTTGTCCTAACGTATTAATGAATCATATTTGCTTCTATGATGCATAATTTTAAGTTTAGTTGAAATCTAAGGACTTGTGATGCAAGGAGAAGTCTACCAGCTGATACAATGCAATCCTCACTTTGAGATCTATAGACTTGTGCAACAGATGAACGACCTTTAACCTCTCATAATGGCCCATGCGCCTATCTAGGCAAATTGAATCAATTTTCTCTCCTCAATTGTAATTGTGTCTGAGCGCAACGCGAGACATCGGAGCTTGGCATGTAATCCATTTATCATTAAACTCATTGTATTTCAATCCTCTCACTCAATCCTTCCCAGTCAGGAAAAAATGTTTCGAAGAGCAAAATCCTGTTTTCCGGAACCACACTTTTATGTTGAGGACTAAAGGGGAGATGAAGAGCTTAGCATTCAGGTGGCTATTAATATGTGCGAGAGATGGGGGCGATCTCGAACCTAAGAAATTTATGAAATTATATAAAGCATATTAATTTTGTGTGGCTTAGGAGGATGATGATTGTGATGAATCTGGACGTTGCGGGCAGTGGTCAAATAAATAAAGTTTCAAGGAGGAACATTTGCCCTCGAACTCGCACGGTATACCAGCGGAACAGCAGACGATGAACACTTTGACAATGCGAACTGGGCCTGTAAGGTACCCTAATCTAAGCAGCTACTCGGGATCATATAGTGCTGAAGTTTGAGATCTATAATTGAATTTGTAGCATAACCTGTTGCTTCTTGACCTTTGTCTGAATATGGCCAAGATGTATCACCGAAATGGACATTTGAGTGTAAACTTACTCTTGCTGCTGTGGATATTATTCGTGGATTGTCCGTCTGTTCTTACTGAGTTACGTGCAGGATGGATAGGAAGAGGCAGTAAGGTAGAGGAAACCAGAGCACATCCCTACAGGGCACCTAGAGCTACTAAGATCAACCAGGATGGACCTACTCAAGAACTATCTTCATCGGCTGCGGATACAATGCTTGGTGACGATGGAACACAGGATCATGGGAAGATCTTATTCTATCGTCGGGGCTATACGGCTACGATCAGAGAAGATGCTACCGTTGGAGAAACTGTACTTACTTTACAAGCTTTCTTCAAAGATCAACGGACCTCTGCAG